CAGACAGCAGGCACAGATCTCATCCCGGCCCTTCCCTTCTCACCAAGAACGGCCTACCCCCGAAGGGTACAATTCATTGGGCCGTCCCCCCAAGGCGTGCCTGACCCTAGTAGGCGAATGCACTGTAGCCCAGCTGCTGGGTCACAGACAGCAGGCACAGATCTCATCCCAGCCAGCCAACCGTAGATGCTTCGGAGGGGTGCCAGCTGCAGCCTTATCCTGGCACAAGCCAGCGGACTCAGGACCCCCCTACCCGTAGTTGGCCGAGCACCATCCATCTAGGCTCGGACAGGGAACCAGCAGTCTGCCCCTAAGCATCCACTCGGGCATGGCAGGGATCGAACCTGCAACCTGTGTCTCCAAAGAACGGGTGTATTTCGAGATCTAGCCTGCAGCATGCTCCACAGGTGCCCGGCCTCTTGAACCCACAACCTGCCGAAGTGAACACAAAGGCACCCAATTTCTTCTGGGCTACAGTGCAAAGCAGTGTGCGAATGGGCCCTAGGCTCTGCCCTAAGCTCTGCGCTCAGAATCCACAATTCAATACTCAGAACATCACACCGGAGTGCAGGCCCAAAGATTCGAAACCACACCCTAAGCCACCACAACGGTGAATATTGCAGGCAGGATACCAATATCCAGTACAGTGCACCAGAGTGCAGGCTCGAAGATTCAAAGTCACAGCGTATGCTACAAAGGTGCATAGCCGACCAGCGGTCGACCAAGTGAGCTAGGGGCGGCCATTCGCCTCTTGGACGTATCCATTATGGTATCTCCCACTCCTCTCCGAAGCTCAGTTAGGCCCTCCTCCTACCCTTCATTTCTCTTCTCCTCTCCATGCAGGATGACGAAGATGAATCGTGACAAACAGCGGCCAACACTGCCTTCCGTGCATGCTTCACAAGCATCTCCTGAAGAAGATGAACAAGAGGAAGAAGAAGAAGAAGAAGAAGAGAAATAAACCTCGCTCATTTCTCATCTCCTCTTCCCCCTCTGCATCCCCTTCTCCTCCTCGCCGCTTGGGATGACAATATGGTCCGCACCCTATCTCCCAAGGGCCAAGAATATGTGCTTCGTACGGCTCGACAGCGAGCACGGAACCTCACGACGAGAAGGAAGAGGAGAGCGCACACAATGCCTTCAGACAGACAAACTCTTGCGTCCAGAGTAGTTGTAGCGGAAGGAGACATGGTGGTGGTGGTGACGATGATGATGATGATGATGATGATGATGATGATGATGATGATGATGATGATGATCTCCGAGTATCTTCCACTTGCGGCACGAAGAGCTCAAGGGTTGAGAGAGTCTACAAAACGGTCTGACGAAAGACAAGGAGGAGGAAGAGAAAGAGGAGGGCGGACGAAGAGGCGCACGAGGAGAAAGCAGAAGAGATCGGCAAAGAAAGGCAGAAAAATATGTGATTGAGTGATAAGGGCAAGGTAATCCAAAAATGCTAGCTACGTAGGGGGGTGGGGAGTGGAAAGGAGAAAGACAAGCAATGGCCGATTGCTCTTCACACGCCATTCACAGGATATTACAGCCAAGAATATACAAGCGTGTACTCATGCTCGAAAACTCGCACGCGTTCCCCTACATGTTTCAACCGGGTGCGCTCCGGTGTCATCAGGGATGGCTAACCACTTGCCCAGTGCCTTACGGGCCACCAACACTTGCCACCCTACGAAAAGTGCGAGCTACGTAGGGGGGTGGCGAGTGGGAAGAAAGAAAAGCGAGAGACGGAAAAAGATAGACAGATAATTGAAAATACAAACAAAAGACAGTTCCGCGCAATTGTTTTCCCGAGACACGGTGTAGGAGACGGAGAGAGAGCGAGCGAGCACGGGCAGCTAGACAAGGATAACAACGGCCAGCTAAACGCTGGTCAGCTGTAGTTCATAAGCCCATCGAAAAAACAAAAAAAAAAGTCCATTGCCACGGTATAAATCAATGTCCTTACAAATGCACTGTCAAGAGGGTCCTACGCCTTTGACCGGTGGCGTTTCCGGAGATGTCAGTGAGGTCGATGGCGGCGGTGGGAGTGTGGAAGGAGGGGATGAAGGGTTGAGAGTAAAGTGAGGTGGGAAAAAAAGATATGGGGTAATCACTACGTAAACCGGACACCGCAATCATTGTACACCTTCGTATGTACCGTCTTTTTCTATAATCTTTGCAATCATTCCAGTGTGTTGCTTGATTCACTTTGTGTCTCGTAGTTTTTTTTTTTTTTTTTTTTTTGGGGGGGGGGGGGGGGGGCGCGCGGGGCTAGCCTGCATGAGTTATTTCACGCATCATCAAGTTGAACCTTATAAATGAACTGTCAAGAAGAGTGACTTTTTCCTGGGGTTTCCTTTTTTTTCTTTTTTCTTTTTTTTGTGTGTGTGTGTGAACTCGAATTTATCTTTCTTTTACCTCTCAGGGACACTTTGGCAAAAAGTTCATCCCCCCTGTCCCTCCTAAGTTCCGGGCTTTACTGTGTACTGAGTTGGGTGGGGCGGACGGCTGCTTTTGTTTTTTTTTTCTTTTGGGGGGGGGGGGGGGGGGGAGGAGAGGGGAAGGAGAAGGAGGAGGAGGAGGAGGAGGAGGAGGAGGGCGTGACCACCGTTTAATATTTTCCCAATGAGACGAATTGCCTCTCCTTTCCCACCAAAAGATCTCCTTTCCCGCCAACGCTGACTGTCCGAAGATGATGCCATCCACGAGACAGCTGCCCCTTTCCCGCTCGTTCCACTCTCGCATCACCTTTTGCAAATCAAGTATGACAATATGAATGGACAAAATCATTCCGGCCCTAGTGCACCTGGGCCTCTCACGCACTTGGACATCTGGACATCCAGGCGCATCCCCAGCCGGCAAGTTTTCGCATTTGCAAACCTGGGCAGGCAGGTTACGTACTTTTCCCCTCACCAAAAACCCGCCTCCTCCTCCTCCTCATCATCATCATCGTCATCATCACATCTCCACCTCTCCGCATCCTCCTCTCTCTCTCTCCTCATCTCTCTTCCGTGGCTGCCACTCGAACCTGAATCTCCTCGTCATTTAGGGCCTCGCCGCACCACTCACCAGATGTGCAAAATGAGATTTAATTTTCGGCTAACACATAGAAATACACACCGCCGCCCCGGTTCCCAGTTTGTGCCAAATTGAGAGGATATGGTTGTATCTATGGGACGCTGGACCCGGTTTCCAGCAGGTGTTGCTCCCCACCAATAGATGGAGCTGTTTTTTTGTCAAAAAAAAAGAAAAAGAAAAAAAAAACACCGCCACAACGTTTGCCTTTTGCGCATGTGGTAAGTGGTTCGGCGACGCCCTTACTCTCAGTGCATCGCCGCACACTACTCACCAAATCTGATACATGGCGGGCGTTTCTGCAGCGAGAAGGTGGAAAGATGCAACCACATAGTTTTTTTGTCTCTTTAACATTTGGCGAGGGAACATTTCACCATTTACTGTGTCATTTCACCATTTACTGTGTCATATTGTTTCGTCCCGCGAAAAACGCTACGTTGAATCTTTGAAAAGAAAAAAAGGAGGGGAAAAAAAAGACCCCTTTTCCTCCGCAAATCTCCGTCATGCGTGCTTTTCTGTCATCAAGATGATTTGCCCAGAAAACGGTAAGGGTTGGGGGGGGGAAGGGGGAGGGGAGGAGGGGGAAGCACTGAGAAGGAGGTAGCCACAGGAGAGAACGAGGGAGGCGGAGGAGGAGGAGGAGGAGGAGGAGGAGGAGGTGGAGGAGGTCAACGAGGGAGCGAAGCGGATGGGGACCACGATCATCCGACGATGGTGACCAAGCGACGAGGAGGACACGCAGAGGACAGGAGGAATTTTTGGCCGGAGACGCGGTGGGGGGGGGAGGCGGCACCGGAGGAGGGGGCTTACCCGAAAGAAGCTGACTAGACAATTGCCGGAGGAGGAGGAGGAGGAGGAGGAGGAGGAGGAGGAGCAAAAGACGACAGCGGTGACGGGGGAGTGGCGCAGAAGGTTCACGAGATGGAGTCAGTGGACGAGTAGACGTGAGAGGAGAAGATGGAGGAGATGCTGGATAACGACGGCTGGAGGAAAACGTGGACGAGCACTCGGACAGAAGACCGGTAGAACGACCGGTACGGCTGCTGCTGCTCACATGACTGGCGGGGGAAAGGAGCTGCGACAGAAGCGTGGGCGAACCAGGCACCGCCAGGACCTGAAACCTACCCCACTCGCCCCCAACCTTTCCCTTCTTCCCTGGCACCAGTCGGCACACCAGCCAGCATAGAGGGCATACTCACACAAGGATTTGTTTACTTATATATGGATGTAATTGCTGTCATATAGGGCCTCGCCACACTACCCGACTTGGCCTTTTTTTCTTTTTTTTCTTTTTGAGAAGATAAACCTTTTATTGCAAAAACAGAGTAATCATCGAGGCCGGGGTCCTCATTAGCTCTATAAGTTCTTTTGTTTTTTTTTTTGTTTTTTTTTAATAAGTTCCATAATTCAATATCCAAGGATTCCGTTTTTTTAATCTGAGAACAAATAAGTCTCGAGTAACCAAACCGGATAGACATTTGATCACTTGAGCCCTCAGTTCGAGAATGACAGGTTCCTCACAATTCGACCCGGACGAACCTGTTGGGGCCATACCCATTCTGCTGAAAATGGAAACCGGGTCCAGTGTTTTTTTTTTTTTTTTTTTTTTTTTTTTTTTTTGGAAAGCTTATACAATTTTAGACCAGGTTCATCTGTAGGTTGAGATAGAAGGGGGGGCGAATCCAGAGGTGAGTAAAGAAGGAATGGAGTGAACCTGGAAGGCGTATTACGCCAGGTGCAGCCGGGAAAGGAGATGGCGGAAGTGAAAAGAACGGGGAGGTGTTTACTTTATTAGCTCTCCATGAAACCAATAGAAAGGGGGTGGATCGAGGTGATTCTAATGACGACCTTTGTCCGGGTATTAGAGTAGCAGATTGGTGTTGTGTGACTTATGGGCCGTGTAAGCAAGAAGCAACTTTGCGTTGCCGTGTACCCGGCCGACTTTTAGAGGAAGAGATATTCGACTTAGTTCATCCTGTCGACGGAGGTAGTGGGGGACTGGTCATGGAGGTTGGAATTTATCTACTAACTGGTGGGCTTTGGACGGGCGTGCGTGGTTGAAAGGTAGTATATATATCCATGTTCTAGCGGAAGGCTTATCCGGGGTTCAACTTGGAGCATGGGACTATTCCGAGGCTGTTAATCGTCAAGGTACTCAACATGTTGATTGCCACTTTTGTGCCTGTAGTCGTTGTTGCGGAGTATTATTGTTTGTGTCCGGCGGCTCAGTGGCTGAGCCGTGTAGTTACTTTGGGCATTTAGTCTTGCTGTTGGGCTTCTCTGTTGACATACATATTAGAGGTTGTTGCACTGTGCCTTTAAGAAGCAACTGCTGGTTGTTGTCGTACTACTGTCTTGCTGAATGCTGGGTCTGTTACGACTGCCCAAGATCTGCTGATTACCATGTTTTCTACGGTATCATCGGTTGTTGCTGACGCTGTGTGCCCAAGGCACCGGTTATTACCATGCGTTTGGGTCGCTGCAGTACCTTTGCTGGTCCGTTGTCGTGTGCCTCACTGTTCCGCTTCAGCCGCATTCCTCCTACAACAATTGTTGGGCTTATTATTGATCAGTGTGTTGCTGCGTTCTCATCGTTTGTTTAGTTCATGTTAACTGCTCTAGCAGGCTACCGTTGATGATTGGTTGTTGTGCCTCGCTGAGTACAGTGTAACGGCGTGTTGAGGCTTGCATCATATGCCTTTGCACCACCTGGCAGTTGCATGCAAAATGGTGTGTGTATGATGGTCTGACGAGATCGTATAAAGTTGAGGGACTGTAGGTAAGTCTGAAGGGGAGAAAGGCAGCGTAAGGGAGCAGCCAGGTTGTTGTGAAGAAGGGTGTTGCTGCTTTCCAGTTGCCCTCACTTACCGACTGTATGTGACTGCTGGGTACGTAGTATCAACAGACGGTTGGTGCAGTGAACTCTGTGTTTGATTACTGGAACTGCTGAAGCAGTGTTGTACTGTTGAGCACGCTATGCCCTGCCTCAGAAGTGGCTGCAGTATGCGCAGTCTTGTTATACCAGTCCTCTGCAAGGGAAGTTGTTGTATACTGATGCTGGCTGCTATTGATTGCTACAGGCTGCATCAGGCTATTGTGTAGCTGCAATTGGAATTGGGAGGAAGCTGCAGCGACAGTGAGGAGAAAGTGATTGGGCTAAAAGGAAGGTTGTTGTCACAGCCTGGAAAAGTAGTGGCGACAGGGGCTATTGCTTTAAATTGGGGTTTCGTCAGGAGAATGGAGTTCAATAGTTGATTCCAGGTTGACCAAGCTGTTGCGCTGGCTGCCATTGAGGGGCCCTCAGGCGATTGAAGGTATCAAGGCCCTCTCCTGGGAGTTGAGTTGTCCCCCTCTTGTATCTCGAGAGTCTCAGACCCCTTATCTTTTGCCCTTCTTACTCTAAGTCTAGTCCTGTTCTGAGAGGAAGGCGGCAGGCGGGATTGCAACCCGTAGGACCGCAGCAAGGCCTACGTGGGAGGTTACCCCACCGATTGTTGGAGCTCTGCCGGAACTCAGGAGGAGTTCTGGAGGCAGGGAACTGAGAGGTAACCACTCATCTCCTTCTATAAACCCAGACTATAGCCCCTATCTGTATTGCCCATTGCAGCTTTGACTGAGTATATGGTATGCAACCCTACTTTGACTTTTTGTCTGACTTTCAGAACCTAAAACGAGATTAAATAAAAGAATGTTTGGGCAATCTCATTTCCAGCTTGTTGACTGTGTGAAAGCAGATTGTTTAAAGAGATTGCATCTGGGAAAGGGCAGGATGAGAAGCAGTTTTTGCGTGAGGTTTGACTGGGTTATCAAGGTTGGGAGGTCCCCATAAGTTTGGGGAGACCCGGTGCTTTGTTTATTTTGGATTATGTGGAGCATCAGACCATTCTATAAGTTTAGGTGGTCTGATTGCTCTGGAGGCTGGGAAGTTCGCATAAGTTTGGGGAGACCTAGTGCTGTGGATTTACATTGAGAATCAGATCGTTCTATAAGTTTAGGTAATCTGGTTGCTCTGACTTGCGAGGGCTAATTGTGATTGACTTTTTCAGGGACCAAGTGTATTCTGTAAGTTCGGGTGTTTTGGTTGCCTTATTTATTTTGGGTTTTCCTCTGTTTATTTGGTTCTGAGCGAGGAGGTTTGAGTCATTCTATAAGTTTAGGTGGCTCAGCCTCTTCCTGTTTTATTCTGGGGAAATAAACTTGACAGAGGGCAGGTCATTCTATAAGTTTAGGTGGTCTAGCCCAACGCCACGCACAGATTGGATCAGAGAGGAACGAACCAGACAGAGAGTCAGACTGTTCTATACGTTCATGGGGTCTGACTCAAAGCCTCGCACATCCTGGAACCCAAAGGTTATAATTTGGCTATATTTTATTACTACTTTATTTAAGAACAGGCTAATCAGACTATTCTATAAGTTTAGATAGTCTGACTATAGCTTATCATAATGCTGAAGAGAGAACAATTAAGAATATAATTGATGGTAAGATGGGGCAGGCTGAACTTAAGTTAGTTCAGTCTTATGCAACCTTAGAAGACAAACGAAAGACAGGTATATATAATCTAGATATTTTAAACAGTTCAGGGCGACTAGAATGGTCTAGTCATATGCCCAAAGAAGAGAGAAGTAGTTGTGCCCTCTGTTATGTGTATACTCTTTGACTAAGTTAGACTCATTCCATAAGTTTGAGTGGCATGACTTTATGTCTGGCTAAGTAAGGCACATTCCATAAGTTTGGGTGTCCGGACCTTATGCCTTATGTACGCTGGGTATGAGGGGTTAAATCATTGAAAGATCATGAACTATTGTTTGTTCAGATAAACTTGGAATGGTGAGATTACTTACCTTCGTGGGTTTGGTTTGCATGTGGCTCAGTGAGATGACTATCTGGTCTGAGTTTCAGTTGATAGGTAGTTGCTTTAGTTGCTCGCCACGTGCTAGAGTCATAGGAGTTAGTTTCAATTCCTGCATTTTCTGAGTTAAGTTTATTTGTACTTAGGTCAATTTCTGCATTTTCTGAGATCTTTTGTTATACTTGGCTTTGTATAAATTTTGGTAAGCTACTTTCTTTACGAGAAGCGCTGCCGAAATTTCTGCAAATCCAAGGAGTTAGTCAACTTTTGGCTTTTCAAAGTTGAACTTGTCTAAATTTTATATGGCTTAGTAAAAATTTGGGAAGTCTCCCTTTCTAAAGGGAGTGCTGCCCAAATTTTTGCTAATTCGAGGAGTTAGACAAAATTCGACTTTGGAAAGTTGAAGATTATTTATGTTTTCATATTCGGGCTGATATAAATTCTGAAAAAATGTTTTTTTTACGGGAAGCGCTGCCGAAATTTTCTCAGTTTAGAGGAGTTATATTATATTTTGACAGGTGGCGATTCTGGCAATCCACTCTGTATAGAGGAGATTCTACTAGAGTCTACCTTTCTTTGGGCAGTGGCTTAGAGGTAGACGTAGACTTAGCTTGTAGAAGAATCTTGGGTGAGGATGTGTTATGGACCTGTACTCTCCATACACTTACGACTTTAGCTTGAGAATTGGCATGTCTTGTGTTACAAGTCTTCATGATCGATTGATTGAGGATTTGGGTTAGATTCAGCTCGGTCCTACGAGGATCATCTTCTGTTATCACTGCTAACAGGTCGGTAGCCGACTCGTCAGTTTACGATTCAACTCCAATTCACTCTTGTCACTCAACCTAAAGACTTTAGCCCTGTGGTTTGATTTGTTTCATTGTGTTTTTATCCGGACTTTATTGAATTGTCATTTAACAAAGATACTGAGTATTTTATTGTTGGGAGGGTACATTAAGGTTGAGGTTTGTATGGCTAAAGCAAGGGGTATGAGGGCAGAGAATGGTTGAAGTTGACCTCGTGTAGTGCGTGGACTTTGTTGGATCTTTGATGTGATTGCAGGTATGTTTGTGGTTCGGACTTTGGATATGGCTGCCTGTGATCACATATATATGGCTGAGAGGAGTTTCACTGTGACTGTGAGAACTGATCGTCCTATATTAATAACCCTGATATATATATATATATATATATATATATATATATATATATATATATATAGCTTGATTGTTCGCGAGGTCTATTGTGACCGTGCACAAGGGTTAAACAAATTACGTTTTTTTTTATTTGAGAAAAAGGGGAGATCCCCGTTTATCCCTTGTTTTTTAGAGTTTCTATGGTTGGATGTTGTAGTCCGTGGCAGCCATCAAAATCAAACCCCTTGATTTCCCTTCAGGTCCTAGATAGTGGAGCTGGTCCCCAGGGTCATAAAAGACGATTATCACCACATGTATGAACTTGTGTACCACCCACTTCAAGTTTCCGCAGGGTGCAGAAGAGGGTATGGATCTCAACCACGCTTGGCAGTTGTCTAGCGTCGAGAGATTAACCCTCAAGGCGCATGTCAGCCGACACTTGAGTGTCAAACGCGACCCTCATGATTAACAAGGACCGCATGAGTATGGGTACTACATAGTACGCCATCATTGCGACCACTTGCGTACGTTTGCATTGCGAGTCGATATGAGTTAGCCCTGCGTCCGCGCAGTTTTATACTAAGTCTCGCGCGCGACGCCTATCCGATTTCCACATTGGAAAGTTATGGGATAGCTACTAAGGGACTAGGAGTGTTGTCGCGTCGTTTGTTCGGTGTCGTTCTGTATTTGTATTTGTTACGTGTGTGTTTTTACTTTTATGTTCTTTATAGTGGTGTGCGTGTGGTGTGTGGGATACGTCCTAGTCGACCGACGATGAGTCGCGCTTGGGACCTCTGCCCCCCAAGTTGTCGGTTCGCGTGCGGGTCCGATAGAGGCGTAATACCGTGCGTACCGCCTATGCTACAGCGAACGAGAAACGTCCTCGGCTGGTCCACCTCTGCGCTTGCAGCTGATCAGCTTTCGTACTATGGACTGGTAGCTCGGCGGGGATACGCCCGCCGAAGGGAGGTGACAACTTCCGTAAGGTGGAGGTAATTTGTGCCTCGCGTAGGCCTTATCTTGTCGTAGGGGCTCGCGAGAGGTATGGCTGGCGCACTCGGCCAGAGCAGCTTGCGGAAGCTCCATGTATATTCGTGACGAGGATTTAGACTGACTCCTGCGTGACGCGGCCGGGAGGGTCCCGCGCTACCTCGTGTGGTGCCGGACCGATGCGCTCGACAACGGCGTTAACGGGGAAGCGCCGCGGCCAATAGTTGGGCTAAGTATTGGTGGTCACCAGTTCTTGACCCAGCTATTGATGCCAAGCCGGGAAACGCCCTGCGCACCAAGTTTTGGCAAGCCGCCGCCGGATCTTTTCGATTTCTTTTTGGCTGGCGCGTCCAGGCATTGTGGTCCAGTAGCCCGAAGCCCATTAGTCGCGGCGGAAACGCCCGCGACCGATGTATGGGCCAAGTACTCGTGATTTGAGATAGCACGTAACTTGTCGTGTGCCCTGTTGGCTTCAAGTCGTTTACTTTTTGAGAAGTTGAGTGAACAGAGAGAAATGGGACACAGGTGTGGGGCTACTTGACCAAATCCACATGTACAACTGAGGAGAGGAGCGGGCGCTATGCGGTGCAGTGCGTTATGCGGTGCGGTGCGTTATCCTAGGCGAAGAGGCGTCTGGGGCCCGTGCTTCGGGCCGGGCCCTAACGTTCCCTTCGCGCGGTCAGCGTTGGTGGTGAACCCGGGTTGAGACAAGGGAAGCAGGTGGCTTCCTCGACAGTCCCGATGCGACCATAGCCGAGAGACGCCGGGAGGAGGGGTACGTTGGTAAGAGTTAAAGAACACATCTGGTCGGAATCCGAGAATTATCACTATTACCACCAGTATCCGGAGAAGTATCCCTGTTAGAAAGAAGACGTTGAGCTGGCATGCCCCAAATAGGGTTTTTGGTTCAAGACACCTGCGAAGATCTGCATAGTCAAGGAATTGTGGTAATGTCCTACAAAGCACACACCAAGGGGGTTTCATGCTTATTACTTATTTGTCCCAGTTTATTACGTAAGCCTCTGAATGCGTACAACTCTACTTTTTGTTGTTGTTTTTCGTTGTTGATAGGGTAGAGAGTCATAGGGATTGGTGGGTCAGGATGGGTGACACAGGGGCTTCAGATCCCTTGTCTCCTCCTCCCCCTCCCCCCCTTGACCCCTCAAACCCTCGCCCCCCCCCTCTTTTCGAAAATGAGATTATCCGCTTTAAATCCATGTTGACCAAATGTTATACGGGAGGGATTCTGCCAAAAAAATTGGCTCCTAACACAGTGGAGAGGGGAGAGAATTTTGTGAGAGTTTCTATAAACAAAAAATTTTACAAAATTCAAGCCGAATGGCCGAAGGAGTATGCGGTATCCATTTTTTTTTGTGATGACTCTACCTCCCTTCCGATTGGAGTCAAAAGGAAACTGGTGCGTATATACGGGGATGGTTGGGCTGCTTCGAAATCCACGAGCGCCCCCCCAATAAGAGGGTTGTTTCATAACGAAGCAAAAAACCTTGTAACGTACGTGGCATCATCACCAGAAATTGCAACATAGATGAGGGACAAAGCTCGTCTCATCGTGGAATTAGACAATAAAAAATACTCCATGCGTTTTGGCCCATGGATGACAGAGAGACAGCTGATGGAGTGGCGTGATGCGATGAGACTCCGATATTTTTGGATCAGATGTCTCTAGGTTCCGGTAACGGCTATGGCGGTTCTGGAATCAGCTATCGAGGATGCGTATGGGGAAATTATGTTATCCCATCCCTCCTTCAAAATGAGGAGTTCGCCAGAACTCCAGGGCATTAGGTTTGACTTAGTCCCATCGGCAAAAACGAGATTCCAAGAATCTCTGGTCATTGATCTTGCAGAGGATGGGCACATGAACATAGAGGTAGTTTGCTCGGAGACTCCATGGTGCGAAGTTTGTCGAAGATTCTACCACTGGTCATCTGATAACGCATGTCCTGCAAGGAACAAGTCAAGCACGGTCGAGAACGGCAAAAAGTCTGCCTCAAACGGCAAATTACAACAGGACAAAATTCAACTCGTCAGTGACAAGGAAAAGGGGAAGGATAAAGAAGAGAAACGGGAGGAGAGAGTAATCAAGGAGAAATCTGACGAGGGTTGCAAAGATGATCAGGGGAACAAGGATAAAGGGGGCCCGAGCAGGGAAGACAGAAACAAGGGAAAGAAAAGGGGAGGCAAAGTGAAACTGAAGGCCAAGAAACACGTGCATCCGGTCGTGAGGAAGAAGTGGTCATACAGGGTAGTCTCTTCAAGAAAAGGGGCTGACATTGAGGACCATAGGGAAGGAATGGAAGAGGGAGATATGGGACAGGAGGCCACCCCGACACCGGTAAATGAAACCCGAAATGAAGCCAATGGACCCCAGAGCCTAGTAGAGGAACCCACAAGGATGGTTTCAGAGAAAGTCTCTGTATCCGGGGAGGAACATGCCTCCACGAAGAAAAAACGCGATGGTTCTCCGGAGGAAATTTTGGAAGATGATGTTGTCGAAATCCGTGACTCGGACACAGATGAGGATGAGGGAATGTCAGAAGAGGAGTCAACTGAGGAATCGGATGAGGATTTCGAGGAGAATGAAGGGATTATAGAAGAAGAGGAAGAGGAAGAAGAATTGGTTGGAAAGATGAGTGAGGATAGAGAAGGAGAAGGGAATGGGAAAGGGGACAAGGATCTGAGACAAGAGGCAGAGGGGGAAGGGGGGAAATTAGAAGGGAAAGAAAAGGGGGTTGTCGGATACTTAGACAAAGGGGAGGGAAACAAGGAGGAGATGTTATCCATATGGGACGAAGTCCCTATGCCCGACCAAAATCTCATTCAGGGACAACTAGAAAATCCATTCGGGAGAGAGAAAGCCTCAGACCCCACAAACGCGGAGGGATTGGTAGGCCAAAAAGAGGCCCTCCACTTCAAGGCAAAACGAGACATTCAACGCCCAAATTTTCAAGTCCCTTGTTCAGGAACCAAGGAGCGAATGAGCTCCGGCCAACCCGTTAAAAAGACGAAAATAAGTTACACAGTGAGTAAGTTTACAGAAAATACTGAGCTTGCCCATGATCCGATAGACCACTTACAGTCCGAGACGTCAAACAGAAAGAGGTCACGGGCGATGAGTATAATCCATCAAGCTCTTTCGATGGCGGCCCCTATGAAAACCCTCTCGTGGCAAGACAAGCTGCGTACGGATACTGAAGCACCAATAATGGAAATCCTGGTCCCCCTAATCTTATCCCCCACCCCTCGAGGGGTGATGATATTGACGAAACTAACTGATACGGAGGAACAGGAAATTCAAACCATTGCAGTATCCAGTCAACCCCTGGAAAAAGTAACACAAAAACTGACAGCTCGTAAAGTACTCAGTAAAACGGGGTCAGTTCAACTGGTACCGGGGATGCGCCCTTACAGATATCTATCAGTCCTACCCACAGGAGAACCAGCATTACTCCATATTTTTTGTTATACAGAAGGTTAATACTACCTTTGAGAGATGGAGCTCCCTTAGAGCCCACTGGTCGCCCCTGTTTGATTTCACTCATAATAGGGTCGACGCAGTTGTTAAAATTAGACTTGCTCAGGGCCTTACTGGTAAGGAATTGGCGGACCGGATTAGGTACGCAGATCTGCAGGGCAAACTGAGTGGATAATCCATTATCAAAAGCCTGCAGGATATCTACACAAGACCGGAAACCCAAGCATCCTCTGCTTCGACGGAGTGAGAGAGCCGCATCCAACAGAGCGGCGATGTCGGACCTGTAAATGGTCTTACCTAGTAAAATACGTATCACTTCATGGAATATAAGAGGGTTAGGTGACACTTTTGCAAGGGAAAAAAAATCCCGAATGAAGAATTGGTTATATACCAACGTTGTCCACATCCTTGGATTACAAGAGACTAAATTGAATTCTGCAAAAATTGCAGACATGGTAGGTTGGTGGGAGGGCCCACAATTTTGGGCCCCCGCGAACGGGTCTAAAGGAGGGACTGCAATATTGATCAATAAGGATTTGGACTGTACGATCATTGACTCATGTCTAGATCCGACGGGGAGATGGGTTTGGGTGAATGTGTCGATAGGATTAAAAAACTGGGGCATTATGTCTGTGTATGCCCCAGTAGAGTACCAAGAAAGGGTATCCTTCTTTGCAGACCTACCTTCATTTGTCCCAGACACGAAAGATCTAATTATGTTAGGAGACTGGAATGTCACTTTTAACCCTGACTTGGATTCTCTTAAGACCTTCCTTTTGCGTAAAGATTCTTTATTAATCTCAACTTTCAAAGACTCACAAAATCTAATTGATGTTTTCAGATAACTAAACCCAGACAACCCAGGTTATACATGGTATGAGGCAAGACCGAACCCACACACCCCGCAGCCAAGGAGAAGACTGGATTTTATCCTTGCGCGGGGGACACCATGGGACCGGTGCATGTGGTCAGATTTCGCAGTAAGCGAAATATCTGATCACTACCCCGTTTCCATGGACATCATCTTCAGTGAGATAATTGAAAAACACAGACGTCCTTTTAAATTCAATGTCAACAATCTGAAAGATGAGGGAATAGTCGACTGGATACGACCACATGGCAGAATGGAAGAATGCAAAAGGTCTATTCAAGGGTGATGAAGAAGATTGGGCCACAGTGGGCCTGAGAATTGTGAGAGCGGCCTTAATGGTTTTTTCAAGGATGAAGGCGGCGAACAGACAATGGAAAAAAAAATGTATGCTTGATCAAATTCAGGAAGCCGAGTCAAAAATGGGGAAGGATCCTTTTGAGGACTATTATTGGGCTGAGGTGCGAAATGACACATTTTTCCAACTGGAAGGGTTGCAATCTCAAAAACAACGTGAGTGGTTAGACTGGTTGAAACTTAGGGGAGTTGTAGGTTTTGATAGGATGACTAAGCTTACCTTCAGATCCTTGCTGCTCAGGCAAGCAAAGCCTTTGCTGATAGAATTTGTTCACCTGTTTTCCTTAACGGCCCCAAAAGCAACAGACACTGTGTCAATGTGCTCATACGCAGTTGAGTACTTTAAGGACAGTGTCACAACAAGACGTCCTTTTGACAGTCTGGACACAGACTTGTCCTTAACAAGTAACTTTTGGGATAATTCAAGAGTGAGCCTGTCACACCAACAAAGAACCTATCTAGAGACCCCCTTCTCTGAAGGGGAACTAAAGGTGGCAGTCCAACAAATGGCTAAGGGGAAGTGTCAGGGTTTGGATGGTCTCCCAGTCGAACTCTTCCAACAATGTTGGGGGGGTTTTGCCCCCTTCTTATGTCAGGTCTTCAATCAAGCTATCGAGACAGACTCATTTCCGACATAATTTATGAAAGGGGCAATTTCTTTACTATATAAGAAAGGAGACAAATCTGAAGTGAGGAATTATAGGCCAATTTCAGTTCTAAACGTAATATATAAGATCTTTGCCAAAGCCCAGACCATACGCCTAGCTGAGTTGCTCCCCGAGCTTGTAGGGTGGGAACGAGGGGCCTTTGTTAAAGGCCGCTCCATCTTGACCACAATGCAAACTCGAGAAGCAATCAGCAAAGAAGACAAACAAGTGGCAACACTCTTGCTTGATATGGAAAAAGCATACGATAGGGTTGGATGAACCTTCGTACTGACCACATTGTCTAAGATGGGCTTTGGTCCGGTCTTCATACGGACGGTCAAAATGATGTATGTTGAAGCCACTTCTGTGGTAATGGTCGACGGAAAACTCTCAGAAGAGGTCCCACTTACACGCTCCCTACGACAAGGATGTCCACTAGCACCGTTACTTTTTGTGTTGCAGTTAGAGATTCTACTAGATAATATTAGGTATAATGGTAATATATCCGGGCTACACGTTTCCCCCTCCCTTCACTGGAAGGGAGGAGCTCTAGCCGATGACCTCACAGTAGCTTGTGAAAATTCACCGGCCTCAATGAACGAAGTCAAAAGAGTCCTGGACGAATATTGTATGCTATCAGAGGCTTCTATAAACTGGGACAACTGTGTCTATTTTCTCCCCCCCCAACATGTGTTGTGTGTTAACTGGGGCTTGCGTCAGATCCCAACGGGTAACTCTGATTGCTTTCTGGGAGTACAAATCTCTCTGTCAGATTGTGCAGGTACACAAGACAACCTACTGGTGGATAAGATAACTGCTCGAGTCACAAGCTGGATAAGATCCCACAAGCTATCACTGTTCGGACGAGCGCTGGTTCTGTCAGCAGCGGGTTTCTCCTTGTTATGGTTCCCTCTTACGGTCCACTATCTAGGGCAGGAGGCCTGCGAAAAATAAAAAGGATAGCTGCCAGGTACCTAGGGAAACCAAGCGCTGCAAAAATGCAGGGCTTCGCCTGGGAAGCGGTGGCACAACCCAAGGACGAAGGGGGCCTGGGAATCCTAGACCCCCACTAGCAGAGCATTGCTCTTCTTAGTAAGTGGGTGGTTAATGCAATTTTTGAAGGAGGGACCAAGCTATGGGTGAAATTTGCTGAGTACATTCTTCGCAATGAGTGGTCCTTGGAAAGAGGCTCATACATCTGGAGAATCATGATGCTTGAGGCATATAAAAAAAAAAAAAACAGATCCAAGGTTTGGGCGACAATCTTAGCAGCTTGGAATAAGATCAGACATGAGATACCGAAACAACCCGAAACCAGAGTTGAAATACTCAATCAGTATCTTCTTGAGAACCCTTTCATTAGATGGAGCAGTGGAGGAACGTTCGGAATAGCTAAGGAAAAGGGAGATTTTGGCAAACATTGGGTAGAAAAGGGAGTGATCCAAGTGAAGGATCTGTAGGACGTAGACCGAGCAGACTGGATTTCGCCAGCTGAACTGCGTCCTGAGGGACGCTGGACCCGGTTTCCAGCAGAAAGGCTGAGATAAACGGAGCAGTTAGTTTTGGGTACCGCAAACCGCGTCCGGGTGCTTCCCTCTTCTCGGTACTTGTATCTTAACTCAGCTCTCTGCCAATCCGCCTCACCCCCAACTCCTTCCGCCACCATGCTTATTTGAGCCGGTCGGCATCGCAAGATAGCTTGCACTCCTGTTGTCTAGATCCCACTTCCTATCTCAACCCACCCGTCTCTCTCAGCGCTCCCCGTCTTGCTCTCGTCACCCCCTCTCTTTGCCCTCTAATACCAATGCAATCAAAGTCGCAATCTCACCCGCCCCTTTCGCATGCACATAGGATACACAACCAACTGGCGACAAGCGTCCACACTCAAAGCTCAAAGATATGGCAATTCAGAATACAATTTGAATACAAATCTACATCAGAAGGCTATGGCGCACAACGCCCACAACTCTCAGCTCATCAATGTGTCCAATCCACTGTTCTCGACACGTATACACACACTAAGCTATCCTATCGCTATGGCAACTATGGCCGTCTCTATCTCTATGCTATGACTACCCCCTTCTCTCGCCCACTTCATCCTCGGGCTTACTGCAAACCACCTCGCATAAGTCGCTTTCATCAGCGCTTCCGCATGGCTTACGCAGAAATGAATGAAAGACTGCTTACTGCCTCTTGACTTATACTTCTGCAGCTCGTTAGACTGTCCTCTTGCCCAAGCCCTGGCGTGCCCAGTCTCATGTGGTACTTGCTTGACCGGACTTGGACATACTGGGACTATGCCTCTAACTTCATGGCGCTACCCGTTGCTGCTAGCGCAGCCCAGCATCGGAACCGCATCTTTTGCTTCGCGGTTCGCCCCTCTTCCCGTTCTATCCATGGTGCGTCAACTCAGCTTGGCTCTTTGGTCTTCAACCTACCTTAGGACCGGCCCCGATATAATAAAAATAAGAAAAGGTAGATAATAAAAAAATTATAAAGTTAGGAAAAACTCATGAGTCCTAACCAGTGAAGGGGCACAAATAAAAAAAAGGGAGCGGGGCGTATCGGCACTTCCTCGATCCTACAAAACGGGCCCGCGGTCGGACTACCCCAACAAAACTGAGGGGGATAGTCCCGCGGGACCCTCAACCCCTCAGCCCTTTCAACGCTCCAACGCTCCTGTGCCGCCACCCACTGGCCTCGAACCCCATACCTCCACCGTATAAGTCAAGTATCGTAACACATAGGGCTAAGCCTAACCCTGGGACTGGCCTGCGCGAAATTCAATAAGAGATGATGCGGCGCAACGCCTAGGCCTGGGAAAACAGCTCGGGCCTCATTCCCACCTATGACTGAGCATATGACCGCTAGACATCCCCGCTGGCTCGCCCAATTTGCGTTGTGGCTGCCTCGTGCCCCACTCCTCTCACCAAGCTTACCACTGGTCAAACGTGCCAAACAAAGACAACCCTTTTATTCCTTATTCTAATCCATAAAAAATCAGGCCGGTCAACTAAGCCGGCTGCACGATCAAGCGGAGGAATCACACGTGCGCCTTAAAACTGCGCGCCAACTCACCTTCTATCTTAGTCAAATTTCTAAACAAAAGTTGGTCACAGATACAGTCGTGCCTCACGTGATCTATTAAAATCCAGACTTGTTTTCTGTCATTTGCGAAAAACAGGGCGGATACCCTTGTAAAGGTATTCGAACCGACACCGCGCCTTTAGGGCTTCGGGGTACCGGACAACAATGGTTGGAAGCACCAGCCAAAAAAAAATTGAACCCGGTGCGCAGGGGCATTCCAGGCTCGACATCGATAGCTGGGCCAAGTAGTGGTGGTTTAACCACTTCTCAACATTTCAAAAATAAACCTGGAGCACGGTTCCACTAGCAAAGACCACTGATGCAGGAGAATCGGATGGCAAAGAAATTGCGGGGGATTTA